GGGGGGGCTCTGCCTCACCTGCCTCCCCTGACCGCACGTCACTGCTACTGCGTGTGTAAACACAAAAGTAGCCTCGCAGTCCCAGCTGCAGTCAGAGCGGAAAGGAGACCCACGCCGCTCCGCGTCCAGACTGCAGATGAAGGAGGGGGGATGGACGCAGAGCTAGCAATTACACCCCACATAACAGTCTTTTGATTAAATTTAATATTCTAACATTTAACAATACAGGACAAAATTGATTTGACTTGACCCACGACAGTATGACGGGACAAATATCAATACCTTCCTCCAGTGCAATACCTGTAAATATACACTGTACAGATTATACGAAGCTGTCTCTATTTTTAAGTACTCTATCTTTATTCCTATTTAACTCGTTCATAATGAGCATTTCTTTGTCTGTCTGCATTGTTTACTGCCTGATTATACTGTTTATTTTGCATTGTTTGCACTGTTTTTTTTGCTTGTTAATGCCGTTTATTTTGTTATACTACCCAACCTTATGTTAGTTTACTGTTTACTTGCCCCTTGCATGAGGATATGTACATGCACATTGCGAGCCGATGTACCAGAGTCAAATTCCTCGTGTGTCTGACACACCTGGCCAATAAAGCTGATTCTGAATTATGTAATGTGGGTCTAGACAACGCATCAAAGCCATGAAGTTATTTTGAGAAGTGATGGTCCATTTAAATGGCAAAATAAAACAACAAACCAAGAATCAACAGAAGAAAGTTCATTTGTAGTTCTAAACATATTTAGGGTGTTTTTACTCATTTTTTGTCTCTCCCATGAAGTTATTCCTCTCTCCGAAAGCGTCCATTACAATTATATACAAATAGACTATTATGCAAATTAGGCGATGACGTAATTTATCGCCTTTTAGGACAGCCAATAGCTACTTTCCTTACTGAGGCGCTGGCAACACTGTACAATTGGCAGTCGACTGGATGTCTGTCCTCATGAATATAGTATAAACCGGCTACTAGCAACAACATTGTGACGCAGCTTAAGACCCGCGGTAAATTCAGGCCGTTTATGCATCGGTCAGTAGCAGGTCTCTGTGGCCTGTGCCGGATCACCGATCATCTCTATCTCAGTAATGGCAGGGCGGCTAACGATTCGTCCCTTGTGACTCGGTATGAGATAACCTGCATCATCAACGTTACGGAGACCAAGAACAGCTGCCTTTCTCCCGGGTTGGACTACATCCACATTCCCGCGTCTGACTCCCCGTTGTCTCCTCTCAGTGATCACTTTGACGATGTGGCAGATAAGATTCTTCTCGTTGCAGAGGGCGGAGGCCGCACACTGGTGCACTGTAACGCCGGGGTGAGCCGCTCAGCAGCCCTGTGCATGGCCTACCTGGTGAAGCACCACGGCGTGACTCTGCTGGAGGCTCACAGATGGGTGAAGACCTGTCGACCCATGGTGAGGCCGAATAACGGCTTCTGGAAGCAGCTCATCCGGTATGAGATGGAGCTCCGTGGGTGCGCCTCGGTCCGAATGGTCTCCACCTCCATGGGAGAGATACCAGACATTTATGAAGAGGAAGCCAGGAATATGATGCCACTGCAGTGTGTACTACTTGGCCGCCCATGTACAGTGGAAATAATAAAATACAGGTTGGACATGGAAAGAAACAAAGGTTTATTTTCTTTCCTCATCGTTTCTTAAGGGCAGTGATGGGATTTAACTAAATACATTTATTCAAGCATTGTACTGTGGTAGGACGAGCATTTCAATTTTATACAACATATTACTACACTCAGTTTCTCAGGAACATATTCTTTTTACTCCGCTATATTTATTTGACAACGTGACTTCTTATTTTTCAGAATAAGATGGTACATTAAAGTTGATTAATCCAGTGTTTCCCAGTGCTCTTGCCTACCACTTATCAAAAAAGTCACTGGCCTATAGTGAGAAGTTTGAGGTCAGATTATCCAATATTTAATAAAAACAACTGCAGAAAAATAATCCTACAAGACTGTCTATGTCAAAAGTGGTACAAGTTAGATGTTTTAATCTGAAATTCATTTGCTTTTTTGGTTCTTTTCTACCCCATTATTCATAATTGGGTATATATTGCTAATACTCTGTACAATTTGAATGCAGGACTTAAACCTGTACTGGATTATATTTACATTGATGTATTTGTAGTTTTACTTACTTTGTATTAATAGCAGTACCACTGATTATAGGCATGTATGCGACAGGCTCCAGATGTGACTGTGAGGCCTGTTAAGGAATCCAACTCACTTTGTTAAAAAGTACAAGCAGCTTTTATTTGATAATCAGCATCCATCTTAACTGGTTCAGTGCAAACACATTTGAAAGACAGCAGGATGTTTGTATGGAGAGCCATTCCCAACCAAGAAAATATTATTATTCTTATTTACTTAGCTCTGTGGTCATTAGACATCTTCAAATCCCCAGTACTACTTTGAACCGGACTGTAAGAAGAAATAACTCATGATAGGTTGTACCTCATTCTGGTGCTTATAAAAAACAAAACAAAACAAAAAACAGCTATTTTTCTTTTTGTTATAGAAAGATGTTTCCATATATTATGACCATGGTCTGGTAGAGTTAATTTAGAAAAAGGAAAAGTACAAAAATGACACACTGAATCACATTAAAATCATCATTTGGCACATGTATGCATGAACACGTATATCCACTCTAGAGTACAGATAAAACCTAATGTTTTAGTGGTCACCCTACCCCAGAGACATTTTTCCATAAGTGCACTGCCAACAGCTGAAAGTTTCACCTCACAAAATTATTCTTAGTTTAAAACAACATTTCAGAGTATTGCCACTGAAAAGCAACAAGTGGTACAAAAATTAACAAGATGCCGAGGTGTGGGGCAGCCATACAGTAAGCAGACTGGCAGCTTCCACATAATTCAGCATAACAATAGCAGTTACACTACACAGATTGTTTTGCATGTCATAGTCTGGTCAGATGGATCATTTACATGTGAACCCAATACCCTGACTGCAGTTAAACTTTCACTCAATTATTTACACTTTTTGGGAGATACTGTATCTTTGTTCACTTTCAATACCATTCTCAAGTCATATATTAAATGTGAAGCTACAGCCAGCTTCCAGTTAGCTTTGCTTAGTTTAGAAGGAGCACACAGCTCCTTGTCAAACTGCAACATGTCATTTAACTCTTAAGGATTGTATGGATTAAAAAGATGTTAATAAATGAGCTTTAAAAGGTGCTGGAAAGTCGAATTTGTTACCATCTGAGAAAAGACAGTATAGTTTTTATGCTAGGCTAAGCTAACTGGCTGACTGTAGTCTTAACGTTAAATTAACCAGACAGATGAGTATTGTTGAGCTTTTTTTTTACCCTCAGTAAAAAAACAAATATGCATATTTCACAAAATGCTGAACTATACTTTAAGTATCGATTATGTGATCAGCATTTTAAAGCCTCAGCCTTCAAGAAGTTAAAGTTGGTGAGGTATGCTTGCATCTCATTCCAAAATAAAGGCTGCTATTACATTCAACTGGCCAAAAGCATATGGTTGTGGACTCAAGCAGAAATCCCATTATGATGCTTTTACTTTAACACATCTAAATAGTATAAATCCTCACAGAAATTGTACACAGTGGGATCACACACTGGCATCCAAACGGTTAATATTTTCATCTGCTACTGAAATATCCTGAGTCAGCACAAAAGTTGAATGACAAGTGCAAAAAAGGCAAGCTCATCTTACCTTCACTGCATGTCATTAATCCATTCATTAAAGGCAATAGGGTCATCTACATAATCATGCAATAAGCATCTAAAAGTGCAAATCACAACACAACAAAACGCTAGTATCCACTCGCCCTGTTCTCACACAAACCACAGTGTTTTCAGCTGCTCGAGGCAATGGTTTCAGAAGAAAGAGTTGGGGTCATATCTGAAACAAAAAGGAGTTCAAAACAACACACTTAAAAACACTGTATTTTAATTTAAAAAACAGGGAAATTAATTTGTTTATATCAGCAACTCACTTGCTGTTCCAGCTTCTGGTATTCTGTGGATTTAGGTCGACGTGTGGATCTGGATTTCTTTCCTTCTACAACAAAGGCAATTATCTGGGGGGAAAGTAAAGTATACTGTCAACTATTAAAATCGCTAAGTCTGTTGTATGAAGCCTAATCAACAACAAAAATACAATTAAACCAGTAACTAAGAAGAGGCCCATGCTAGAAACAAGACCAGGCTCCTTTTTGCACCGCAAGGTACTGGACAATTAACTTAAATTGCTTAACTAACGGTTTTTGAGCATTTAAAAAAGCAGGTGGAAAATGTAAGAAATGTGCTTTTTGTTTTGCTGCTCAGAGATGAAAATGTTTCAGTAAATATAATGCTGCCGCATTTGCAGCTCAATTCTAGGTCAGTGGAAACAGGAAGTATGCTTCAGAGAGGTCTTACTGGGAAGAGTTTTAAAAGCCAAGTACCTTGCGTTTGTTGTGGTAAGCGATGTAAAGTACAGCAACTAGCACAGCTGTACAGACAAGGTAAGCGAAGAAGTGACTGCTTTCTGCCTCATCCTTCATACCAGAAGGATCATATTGAGTTTTCCCTCTGGCTGTCTCCCCTTCTGTCTTTTCTTTCTTGGCTCCCCCTCCTTCTGACTTTTCCTTCTTGGCTCCC